TGTACATTTAAAGAAAGAGCATGACTTGCAAGCTGTAAACATTACTCAGGTCCTATTTCACTGAACACAACCCAGCCACACGGCATACCTGAATGATCGGATAGGACATTGGAAAATCAGTTTTTAATTGAGCAGTTGTGTGTCCAGCTAAAACCTCTTTATAGAAGAGGATAACACATACCAGAGAGACAAGTTATCCTTCCTACAGTAAGTCACTGAGAGAGGAAACTGAGTTTACCCCTTTCAATTTTCATTCCAATCCCAAAGAAAGGCAATGCCAAAGAATGTTTAAACTACCACACAATTGTACCCATTTCACACGCTAGCAAAGTAATGCTGAAAATTCTCCAAGCTAGGCTTCAACAGTACATCAACCAGTGGGAGGAGAGTAGAGGCGAGGGAAAAAAAAACAACAACAAAAAGCAGTACGTGAACTGAGAACTTCCAGATGTTCAAGCTGGATTTAGAAAAGGCAGAGGAACCAGAGATCAAATTGCCAACATCCACTGGATCATAGAAAGAGCAACAGAATTTAAAAAAAAAAATCTACTTCTGCTTCATTGACTACACTAAAGCCTTTGACTATGTGGATCACAACAAACTGGAAAATTTTTCAAGAGATGGGAATACCAGACCACCTCCTGAGAAATCTGTATTCAGGTCAAGAAGCAACAGTTAGAACTGGACATGGAACAATGGACTGGTCCCAAGTGGGGGAAGGTGTATGTCAAGGCTGTGTATTGTCACCCTGTTTATTTAACTTATATGCAGAGTACATCATGAGAAATGCCAGGCCGGCTGAAGCACAAGCTAGAATCAAGATTGCTGGGAGAAATATCAATAACCTCAGATATGTAGATGATACCACCTTTATCGCAGAAAGCGAAGAGGAACTAAAAAGTCTCTTGATGAAAGTGAAAGAGGAGAGTGAAAAAGTTGGCTTAAAACTCAGCACTCAAAAAATAAGATCATGGCATCCGGTCCCAGCACTTCATGGCAAATAGATGGGGAAACAATGTAAATAGTGACAGATTTTATTTTCTCAGGCTCCAAAAACATTGCAGATGGTGACTGCAGCCATGAAATTAAGACACTTGCTCCTTGGAAGAAAAGTTATGAAAAACCGAGACAGCATATTAAAAAGCAGACAAAGGTCCGTATAGTCAAAGCTATGGTTTTTCCAGTAGTCATGTATGGATGTGAGAGTTGGACCATAAAGAAAGCTGAGCACCAAAGAATTGATGCCTTTGAACTGTGGTGCTGGAGAAGACTCTTGAGGGACCCTTGTATCACAAGGAGATCAAACCAGTCAGTCCTAAAGGAAATCAGTCCTGAATATTCATTGGAAGGACTGATGCTGAAACTGAAGCTCCAATATTTTGGCCACCTGATTCGAAGAACCAACTCATTGGAAAAGGCCCTGATACTGGGAAAGATTGAAGGCAGGAGAAGGGGACACAGAGGATGAGATGGTTCGATGGCATCATTGACTCGGTGGACATGAGTTTGAGCAAGCTCTGGGAACTGGTGATAGACAGGGAAGCTTGGCATGTTGCAGTGCGTGGGGTCACAGAGTCGGATATAACTGAGCGACTGAAATAACTCTTCAGAAGTAGGACACAGCAGAACACTTCCAGTAGGTCAAGGAGGGGGAGAATAGGAATTTCATCAGGACATCGAGCAAGTCAAGTCTAAGTCAGAAATGTCTGCCAGCTCACCTGGGCATCCTGCTCCTCAAGGTATAAAGATGGTACCATGGTAGTGGGAATATTTGTGATAGCTCTCTAAATGCTTGTCTCGAGTCACACCATTCCAACCTGAACTGGCTACCCTCTATAGAGTGTACCGATATAATCCTGGGATCTTTTCACCCGTCTCCTTGGAAGCGTCCCTCTACCCTTCCCCTGTGTTAGATCAGAAGAGTTTATCTCCCCGTAGTTCCTTATGATGCTCAGGAAGTAAATGTTTTTAAGATCTCATTTGACTGAAATTATCTTTATTCTGTTTATTCTTAAATGATAATTTGACCACCTGATGAGGCCTAGGTTGTAAACTTTTTCTAAGAATTCTGAAGGTATGGCTCCATTTTTTTGTTTCTAGTTTCCAGAAATGATGTTGAATGAGCTGGAAGATACTTTGACTGATTTATTTTTAAATATGTAACAGATCTCCCCTCCCTGCGATCTTGCAGGACAGGCTTTGCTGTCATTATATCATAATCATAAACTTACCTCTGCAATCCAGAAGGTAAAGAAAACATAGAACCCAAGGAACTGCACCAAAAGCACAAAGATTATAGGAGACTGTGAGCAGATGTGGGTAGAGGGTGCTCTCCTGAGCTACAGAAGAAATGGTCTGGGAGTCAAATTTTTGAGTTGTCCACAGTCAGCAATGGTAATCTTCCTGCTGGTCTCACAATTATTACTGGACCCAAAATACTCCATGGCTTCCACAATATTCATACTCTTCAAGTCTTAGTTACAGCACTCAGGATCTTCCATCTTTGTTATGGTGTGTGGAACGGGCATGTGGGATCTAGTTCCCTGATCAGGGAACCTGGGCCTCCTGAATTGGGAGTGCAGAGTCTTAGCCACTGGACCACTGGTGAAGTCCCTTACTCTCTTTCCACCTTGCCAAAAATCATGTGCTTCCCATCCAACCCCTGGCAGTGCCGAAGAAAACTGGAGATGATGGACTTCTTATTAAAAAATTATGCAGTTCAGCTGAGGTTGAATCTGGGGAGAAGGGAGAGAAAGAATGAAGGAGAATGGAACTTGATGTGACAGAACAGTCATGTCTACCAGGGGAGGGATCTTTCTTGCATTATGAACCCCTTTGAGAATCTGATGCAAATTATACTCTATTAAAAATGCATACACACATATAAAACAGGATGTGAAGCAGCTCATGGAACCCTTGAAACTATTCATAGATCTTGAGCCAGTTAAAAATAGTGTATAACCTTTCAGATATTTGCCCATATGATAGAAAGTCACTTCCTTTTGTATATAAATTCCTAAGTAAATTTAGAAAAGTTAGAAGTAGAAATGGAGAGGGTGGGAGAAGGATGCTGTTTCCAGAAAGCTAGAACATAGAAAAATCCTAAGTCATACAAGTACTTTTCCCTTTGAATGTGGCTAACTTTGAAAAGTATACTATCAACCTATGGTGCTCAGTCATGTTTGACCGAGTCATGTTCAACACATCACAAAATTTAAAAAAAATTGTTGAAATTAAAATGCAATTAATTCCCCTTCCCATCATAAAGACATACATAGCAAGCTTTATCTTCAACAGTTTTAACATGCTACTGAACTTTTCCTAGGGTTTGGGCTATTGTGATGCATTTTAGATGCTGATTCTAATCTTTAAAGATTTTTAAACTTCACCACTGTACCTTTTTTTTTTGGACATGTTTTCTAAGTACTTCATACATTTCTCTATTGTCCTCTAATTAAGCAGTCAACAGTTCAAGACCAATGGGCTTCTGACTGAAGCTAAAGACTTGCCAGTTTCAACAAATATCCTATATTCATTTTCCAGTCACTTTTAAGAGCAACGTATGAAAATATTCAATACATTATATACATACTGCTGTATAAAAGATGAGTAAAGCTGATGGTGTAAGCTCTACCTAATAATATTGAATATTTGATAGATAACAAATGAAACTCCATACTATTATATATAGAGAAAAAGTATAAGTGTATAAACACAAAAATTTTGATTTAAAAAAAGTCATATACAAATTACGGACTTTTTTGTAGCTTTAAAACCACTGACCCTTAATATTGTCAATTATACCCCACCCCCAAAAAAAGCACTTTACCTTCTGCAGAGTCAAAGCTATCGTTTTTCCAGTAGTCATGTATAGATGCAAGAGTTGCACCATAAAGAAGGCTGAGTCCTAAAGAATTGATGCTTTTGAATTGTGGTGTTGGAGAAGACTCTTGAGAGTCCCTTGGACAGCAAGGTCAAACCAGTCAATCCTAAAGGAAATCAACCCTGAATAATCATTGGAAGGACTGATGCTGAAGCTCCCAATACTTTGGCCACCTGATGTGAAGAGGTGACTCACTGGAAAAGACCCTGATGTTGGGGACGATTGAGGGCAGAAGAGGGCAGCGGAGGATGAGACAGTTGGATGGGATCACCGACTCAATGAACATGAGTTTGAGAAAATTCCAGGAGATGGTAAAGGACAGGGAAGCCTGATACGCTAGTCTATAGGGTCACAAAGAGTTGGACGTGACCTAGCGACTGAACAACAAAAAGCACTATTAATGCAATAGGTACGACAAGTTCTAGGTTTTAATGCTAAACATCTTTTAACTTTTTTCTGACGGGAGTTCATCTCAATGATTTGTAAAAGGTCTCTGTACAGGAAGACTATGTATCCTTTGATATGTTGCAAATACTTTTTTCTGAATTGGTTAGGAATCTTTTATAATTCTTTACAAGTGGAGGGATAAGGACACAACCATGGTGCTAACTACTGGTTTTAAAACCTTGATAACACTTTCTAGCTAAAAAAATCTTTAGCAAATTACTTCATCAGAACCTGTCAGTTTGTATATGAGAAGAATATGTAATTCCATAGGCTTTTGTGAGGATCCATTTTTTTTTCTTAACTCATGTAAGTTTAGTTCATCTACCTAAAGTGCTTAGAACAGTGCTCAGCACATACTAAGCTTTATGTAACCGTTGCTTACAGTGATGATGATCACAGATAACATATATGGAGCCACTGTATTTCTTTAGTCTTGTTTGGTAATTAAAAATTTGTTTAGAACTATCTCTTTATTTGAAATACTTACATTAATAAATCAAAATTTCCAACTTCTTGTACATGTTGAAAACTTTCAGTAAGGATCTCTTGGGTACAAAATATGGTCCCAGTGACTCAAAATTTATTTTATGAACATTATTCTAAAGCCATATGAATCTTGGAAGTCTAAAGCTCTTTTTAAATAGCAAAAACACAAAACAAAACAAACCACCACCATGTTGAAGTTTTTTATTTTGCAAAAATGTACAAACAGAATACAGCTACCCACATTTTATGGTTTCTAAACATAAAACCACTGATGCCTTCCCAACGATGCTGACGTTCTCCACAGCTAAGACGCCTGATGCTCTGTGAAAGCCCAGCGTCCCTCCCACGCTGCCCACCAGGCCCGCCTGCTTCAGAAGTCCTGCCGCACATTTTCTTTGTTTGCCTCTCCGTGTTGCTGCTTCATCTGGAAGAGCTCGTTTTCTAACTGTACAATAGTCCTTTCAATCTCATAGTTCTTACTGACCAGGGATACCCAGCTAGGAAAGAGAGCAGAGGGGAAGATCACCTAAAGCGAAATTTCTCTTACAAGAGGTTTAGAGTATACACAAAACTATACACATTTATCGCACACACATTTTTAACCAGTATATACATTTTTAACCATAATACTAACCTTCACTTTTAGCTTTACATTTTCAAAAGCTGAGGCACAATTAGGGGGAAAAGTGAGTAAAGGATATGTATATAGGACTGCTCTGTACTACTTCTTAAACTGCATGTGAACCTACAATTATCTCAAAATAAAACATTTAAAAAAAGAACAAATTAGAAAGAGCTGAAGAGATATGAAAGAGTGATTGAAGTTAGTATTTAATTGGGTTAGAAAAGGATAGAAAATAAGGCAAAGGCAATAGTTAAAAATGAAGAAATTTCTAGAGTGCATGTAAATCCATGGCTAATTCGTATCAATGTATGGCAAAAACTACTGTAATGATGTAAAGTAATTAGCCTCCAACTAATAAAAATTTAAAAAAAAAAAATGAAGAAATTTCTACAGCTGCTAAGACAGAATTCCACAGATTCAAAGAATCTTCCCCTTCTCTCAGAAAAAAAATCTCTAGGACAAATTAAATGAACACACATGTACATGCAGAAGATTATATCAATCTGAAGAAGAGTGTGGAAAGATGCAGTAATAGACTGATAACATTGGGTACTCAAAAGATGAGGGGAAGGTGGAATAAGGACAATGGTGTGGGTAATGGAGGCAGAGAGATTAGGGAAAGAGCAAGTCAAAAAAGAAAAGAAGCGATTAAAAAAATGACTATATTCAGAGATTTGTACAAATTTATTTGAATATATGAAGAACGTTAAGAAAACAAAATATATAAACAAGGAGGAAAAACTCCTCCTTGTATTTGAGATATACACAAATGATCAAGAAAGTAAGGAATTTCCCTCCAATAAGAGTTTAAAAATAGACTTTTTATCCTTTTAAAGGGTGGAATTCCATACAGAAGTAGTGGATGGAAAACAGGGGGCTCTAAAATAAGAATAAATTAGCACTGGTTCAATTTTTTGTTTGTAACTCTAACTTCCTTTCAAGCTCATACTTTAGAAACAGGCAGAAGCAGTGAAGACTGGGATTCCGGAAAAGCATTTCTTTGATACTTGTGGCACTCTATTTGAATACTGTTTGAATCATATGGTTGAATCCTGATCTTAACACATGCCAAACAATTTAAAAGGTGATGGAATTACAGATACTCACGTTGACTCCATTTCTCTTAATTTAGAGCCAGCTGTGAGTTGCATGTTCTTTCGTTGCCAGTTTAAGTCTTGAATATGTTTCCTGTAAAAAAAAAAAAAAAAAAGATATTTATACAGCCCACCTAATTTTAACATAAGATTAAAATCAACAGAAAAGTCTATAATTAATACGTCTTTAACTGCTTAAGAATGGACAGTCCCTCCTTTCATATGCTTTTCCTTCTCTCTGATAGCTTTCGTTCAGTTTTTCGTGAGTATTCTTTCAGATACTTTCCTGTATGTATATATACATACAGAGATTAGGGGGTGTGTGTGTTTTTAATTTAATATAAATCATATTATACATATTATTCTACTACCTTTTCCTTCTAAAACTATCATTTCAATAATTGCAAACTGCAAATGACCCCAGAGAGATGTTTTCAGATCTCACGTCTATTTCTTTTCAACTCAGGTAGGGCAAATCCAACACTAAACACTGGACAGAGTGGATCATCAATTATTTACTCTCATATGACTATAGTCCAGTGGTTCCTTTTTCTTCTCATTGTATTTACTAAGGATTCACCTAAACTTCATTCTAAAATAGAAAGAAAAACAATTTACCTTAACTTCTGAAGCTCTTTCTGTGCGTGCTCAATCATATGAACCAGATTTCTAAAAAAAAAAAACAAAATAAAGGAAAATAAAAACAAAAAAGGCCAAACGAAAAGAAAACGGCCAAGTGAAAAAAAGGCAAAGCTTTTTGCTAAAAACAAGCCAGTATTTTCTGAGTTCCCTGTGCCAGACATCATGTTAGACACACTACAATACTAACCTAATTCTCACAAGAGTTCTATGAGGCAGACATCATTATCCCCATTTCACAGGTTAGGACACTGTATTCAGATTAAGTAACTTGGTCAAGGTAACAAACATGATTAAGTCTCAGAGGTGCATTCAGGTCTTATAAACTCTTGAACCCAAGCTGTTTACTAGAATTATGATTTTGTGTACTTGTATCACATCTTAGGGAATATCTCACAAGTATACTCATTATATCACTCATGAGTCCACCTCCTTTTATCTCCATTTCTTCACCTACATTTAGTATGTCACTCTCTCCTGTCTACTGCTAACTAGAGAGAAGAAAAGAACTGTTGTGGAAGGCTGTAGATTCAGATTCCAGTCCAAATCAGCTCTAACCAGCAGAGGGGAGAAGTTGAGTTATACAGAGTTCCCTGCAATTATCATTAGAGAAATGGCTCAAGGGTAGAGTTCAATCTCTCTCTTTTCTTAAACTACAGCTTTACTAAGATATAATTCACATACCCTATCAATTTCCTCTTAAGGCAGGAGAGTCCATTTCAACCATACTGGCTCTATTATGCTCTTGCTCTAGATCCAGTATTATTTCCGGGCTTTTGTGGCTCAAATTTCCTGCTTCTCGAGTTAATTCTCCTATCTCTACCAACTGATTTTCAAAAACTAACTCTAATTCTATACAAACTTGGTCTCCAAACAGTGGTGCCTCTCCAGGCTTTCTTTCAGCTCATCCCACTTTGACAATTATCCCACCCTGAAGACAATAAAGCTTAGTACTCTATTCCTGACCTCTGACCGTTAATAGGGAACTTTTCTTTGAATTACCTCTTTCTGAAAGCCCAGCTTATTTGTTGTCTTCTCCCTTCTCCTAGCTTCCCTCTTAAACACACAGGTCCCTCCTCAAGTATTAAGAATGCTGAAACTGACCACACCGTACCATGGGAATCAGAAGACTTGGGGTCTAGTCTCAGCTCTGCCCTAAATAGCTATGCTTCCTTGGATGAGTCATTTGATATCACAAGGGCTAAATCTGTTTATCTGTAAAATTAGGGGCTGACCTTGAAGGTTTCCCTTCAGTTTCAAGTAAAGAATTCTCTCCTTATTAATGAAATATTGTTTTTTTAAAAGCAGTTCTGCACCCAGATCTACTTAAAACTGAAAAGTTTTCTGCCCAGCATATTGGACATCTGCGAATCCTATCACAAACAAAGAAAATTTACTTTTGAGAAGATACAGTATAGCTCCTCTGGAGAAACATCCATTGGGTTTGGAAGAGACAAAATAATGGGCAAAAGAAAGACTGACACTAGAAAGTGTTATGCAACTAAATGGAAAACAAGTGATGCGCATAGTGATTTGTATAGTTACTCAAAAGATGGAGAGTACCAGAGGCAGAATTTTAATCAGGGAAGAAAAGGAAACAGATTAAAGTCATGCCTTGAATAAGCTGAATTTGGGTAGAATAGTTAAAAGGTATTTCAGGAGGAGGTAAGGCCTGAGTAAAGGCTCAGAGGCAGATTTTATGATAGTCACCAAAGAGAGGACTAGACTTTTGCTTTGAATATCATGTTAAATAGCCTGGACCTTCCTCAGTCCACGCTGCCCGTAGCCGCAGCCCATCGGCCAACCCAGCGTCCGCCACTACCACAGACACGGGAGTGCAGGTGGAGACCATCTCTCCCGTAGACGGGCGCACCTTCCCGAAGTGCGGCCAGACCTGCATGGTGCACTACACGGGATGCTTGACGGTGGAAAGAAATTCAATTCCTTCCGGGACAGAAACAAGCCCTTTAAGTTTGTTCTGGGCAAGCAGGAGGTGATCTGAGGCTGGGAAGAAGGGGTTGCCCAGATGAGTGTGGGTCAGACAGCCAAGCTGACTATCTCCCCAGACTATGCCTGTGGTGCCACTGGGCACCCAGGCATCACCCCACCAAACGCTACACTCATCTTTGAGGTGGAACTTCTAAAACCGGGGTGACAGGAGCGGCCTCCTCCCCGAGCTCCCCATTCTTGGAGGTGCCACAGAAGGATCTGGCGCCTCCAGACGCACACAGCGAGTCCGTGTTCCACTACACTCTGTATAAACATCTTCCCAGACTGTGTCCTGTCACCGGCTTTGCTCTTCCCCTTCCTCCTCGTATGTGTGTTGACCTGAAGTATATGCCATAAACCTCAAATTACTCAGTTTGTTTTTGTTCTGGGGTGAAGACTGAGTTTCAGTCCTTTGGATCTAGGTTCCAAATAAAGGGTAAGCAAAAAATAAAAAAAAAAAGAAAGGGGTAAACTTAAAACAAGAAATGGGGGTGGGGGGGGGCGGCGAGGTGCAAGAATCTTTATTTTGTTGGATGAAAGTTTTATCTATTATATATTAAACATTTTTGCTGCTGCACTGCAAAGCCATAGCAGATTCAAAGCGCTTTTGAGGGCCGAATTATTCTCCAAGTTGAGAGATGTCATCGGGTTGAATTGAAAGCCCTACCCAAAACTGCAGTGAGAAGGGGGAGAGCATTTGCCTCCACTGCCCCACCCTCACCCTCCTCGTAGACCCTCTGCCTTTTGAAAGCAGATTGTTTTCACTGAGATGTTGGACATTGCAGATGTCTGTTCCCTGAGTCCTCTGAAACCTTCATGGCCTGGCCTTTGTTTTTTGCTTCCATCCTGTGGTTTTTCTAATGGATGGATATCCAGGTTTTTGTAATCGCATAGCTATCCAAGCTCTACTTCCTAAATTTTAAGAACTTTAATAGAAAGTTAAATTGAAGATGCTGTTTGTAGACACTTAACTCCCATGAAAGCCAAGCCATCATGACAAATCCTTGAGTGTTGTCTTAAGAAAATGATGCTGGTCACCACAGCTTCAGCAACTCCTGTTTTTTGATGCTCAGCTTCCCGTGCTGATCTCAGAGTTTCCTGGCTTCTCCTTGCCCCCTCTCACCCCTTTGCTGTCCTGTGTAGTGATCTGGTGAGAGAAATTGTTGCCTACTCCCCCAGCCTACCCCCATCCCCCCACTTACATGATTGCAATAAAAGTGCTTTATGCTGGCTTTTCGCAAAAAAAAAAAAGCCTGGACCTTAAATAAAGAATAATTATTAAAGCTTTACATCTTTAATTATGAAAGCAATGTTCAATCCGAGGCATCTCTTTCCCCCCTCCCCCCATCTATGTTCTCCTCCATTCCTAGAATGTTTTCACTCTCCTCTAAACATCCATATTTCACCCTTTTCTGAAAACCTTGTACACTGCTGATGGGAATGTAAATTGGTGCAGCTACTATGGAAAACAGTATGAAGGTCCCTCAAAAAATTAAAAGTAGAACTATTAATACTATATGATTCAGCAATTCCACTCCTGGGCATATATCTGAAAACAAAATGAGAACTGTAATTTGAAAAGACACAGGCACCCCAATGTGTGTAGCAGCACTATTTACAATAGCCAAAACATGGAAGCAACCCGAGCGCCCATCAACAGATGACTGAATTTAAGATGGCACATATATACACATCAACAATGGAATTACGACTCAGTCATAAAAAGGAAATTTGCCACATGCAGCAATGTGGATGGTGCTAGAGAATATTATGCTCAGTGAAATAAGTCAGAGACAAACACTGTATGATACCACTTATATATGGAATCTCAAAAAATAATACAAATAAAATATACACGCAAAACAGAAACAGACTCACAGATATAGAAAACAAACTCGTGGTTAACAAAGGTGAGAGAAGCGGAGGAGGGACAAATTAGGGATAGGTAACAGATACAAACTATTATATGTAAAGTAGATAAGCACCAAGGGCATACTGTATGGCATAGGGAATTATACCCATTGTCTTGTAATCACCTATAATAGAGTATAATCTGCAAAAATACCAGATCACTATGCCATACATCTCAAACTAACACAAAACTCAACTACACTTCAATAATCCCCACCCTCACATCTCATCCTTTTACAGTGGACCTAATCCTTAATGTCCCCTTCTCTGGATCTCTACAGTTTACAGACCACAATGCAGCACATGCCTCCACACTGCCAAAATGAACTGCTTGGCTATCTGGCCTAGAATATCTTGCCTCCTCAACTAGATAAAGAAAGCTTCTTGAGGAAAAAAATCACATTTTTCACTTTATGAAATACATGCTGTTTTGGATTGATTTGTTCTCTTAAAGCTTCTTAATCGTCCTAACTCCAGTGTTCCTTTATTTGCCTTGTGATGTTCACAATAGAGACTAAATTGTTTGTTCTGCAATTTCTTACATTCTGGATTTTGCCCACAGATCCTTATGTGACCAAAGAAGTTTAAACATGATTCTGAAAACTTGAGAAAAGCTATTTATCATTTTGTGATTTTTGCTTTACTCTTTCAGGAATCATACTCTAACAAATGGTTTTATGCAGTCATGAGAGTCAATGGCCTTAAACTGTTAATAGAAATGTGGGATTTTAGGGCTCAAAGAAGCCATGGAGATCATCTAACCACTAACTTTTACGAACTGGAAACTGAACCTTAAATACCATAGACAGCAAAACCTAAAGCTAAAGCTAGTTCTGTGGGAAAAAATAGGAGTTCAGTAGCACTCTCGTTTCTGGTGTTAATTCTCTGCTTATAATCAATTCTCATTATCTGCAGATTCTGTACAGATGAATTTGCCCATTAACTCAAATTTATTTGTAACCCCCAAATCAATCCTTGCAGAGTTCTGTGATCATTCATGGATGCGGTCAGAGCAGCAAAAAATTCAGAGTTGCTAAACATGCGCATTTCCAGCTAAAGAAGAACAAAGGGATACTTCACCTTCTTGTTTCAGGTCTCATGCAGAGATAACCAGAGGAGAGAGTTTAATTTCCAACTCTGGCATGCTACTTAACACTTCCGAACTTTGTCTTCTCTTTTATAAAATAAATAAAATACACAATGTGTCAGGGTGAGTTGTTATAAAGTGTGTAAGATTATCCTCTATGTGAGATGTGTATATATACACATGTATGTATTTCTCCCAAATACTGAAATGGTTCAGTGTTTGCTAATTCAGTATTCAAGGCCACTTTAAAAAGCAGAAAGCACGACTAATGAGAGCTGACTGTAAAAGCACGGCCCCCCACATTAAGGATCATGGTCTACTACCAAGCTGTTTCGTAAATCAGACCTCAGAACTTGTTACCGCAACGTTATACAATAAATGTGTTAGGTTTAGGTTCCCTTAAACAGGTGGGATGGGTTTAAAAAAAAAAAAAAAAGGTTTCTTACTCATTATACACTTTCCAGGCATTGCATCCATGCTGGGACATTAGTTCCAGATTCTCAATTCGAACTGCCTGATGCTCTAACTGCGCCATAGAATTGTTTACGCACTCTTGCCATGCAGTGATGTCATTTTTCTGACCGGAGGAAGGGGCTGGAAGTTCATATCTGAAATTAAACAACAATGAAATAAAACCACATATTCCTCCAAATCTTTCTCTCTACTCCCAACAGAATGCCTCGTAGGTCTACACACACTGTAAAAACAGAAGACTGGAAAAAAAACAGACCAACCAGAAGACTGAAGATAACATGTAGACCTTGCAATAATAAGAAGCCTATTTATCCTAAGAATCAATTTACAAATAAGATCTAGCATTATGACATACAGTAACAAATAACTGTTCATTTCAATGTGAAATGATACAATAAGCTACAGTATGCATTCACATAAAGGACTGTTATATCAGCTATTAAATGTTACTAAAGAATACTTAGAATATTAAAATGTTTGTAATACATTAAGGGAAAAAATCAGGATATGAAAAACCATGCTATCATTTTGTAAAACACACCTACATCTATCCACCTTCCTACCCACATATCTACACCCCTCTAGAGATAAAAATGGCAAAGGTATATGATGATTTTTACATTTCACACTTAGTCTTTTATCTATTTTTAATAATACCCAGTCCTTCAATACTGCCAATATAGCCAGGAACATACACTCTTCATAAATCCCAGCTTTATAATGAGTTGCTACAAACTAACTTTCAATTTCTATTTTCTTACTGTTATTAGATATTGTAAAAACTTCATATCATTCCTATGAAAAATTGAGGGACATGCTGCTGGGACTAAGAAGTGATAAACTATTTTGTTTCTTTTTTAAAAAAAGCAAACTTTACACATGCATCATAAATGTAGCATTTTGAGAACTTCAAATCATAACCCACAATAAGAAATATTTTACACTGTGACACAGTATACAAATACACATAACTGAACAGAAGTTTCACAAAACAGTACTTAACTTTACATGCAACGCATTCTGATATTTTATCTTCCTTAAAAAAAGTGCTGTATAATAGTCAGGAAATGGAAGCAACCTACATACCCATCAGCAGACGAATGGATAAGGAAGCTGTAGTACGTATACACCATGTAATATTACTCAGCCATTAAAAAGAATTCATTTGAATCAGTTCTAATGAGATGGATGAAACTGGAGCCCATTATACAGAGTGAAGTAAGCCAGAAAGATAAAGACCA